TTTGTGGTCACCCAGAGCTCATGCATTTGTATTCACATTACTTGGAATGTTCTTTGCCAGTTTTGCATGGCTCGCTTGCTTTTCAGGTCTTTACTCAGACATCAACTGCTCAGTGACAGTTCTACCTAAAACCACTTTATTCTCCATCCCTTCACTGTCACCATCACTCTCTATAGTCTTTCTCTGCTTCACTTTATAGAGCTTAAAACCGTGATTATATTGTGTTTGTTTTCCAATTTCTGCATTGGAGCATAAGTTTCATTAGAACAGAATGTTTGCTTGTTTTGTTCATTTCTACATCTCTAGCACGTAATGGGAACTTAGGAAAAAAAAAAAAACATGTTGAATGAATCACAAATGGATGCCAAAAATGATAAAATGTTCTCTAGTTACCTTGCATCAGCTTATTGTCCTAAGAAGTCATTCTCTCAGATGGTTCTCTCTCTTCTGTTCTGACATGCTGTTTTTGTTGATCCCATTTTGACCCTTTTGGACTCGGTTTTAAGGACCAATGGTGCAGAAGTGTCGTTGCCTGGGGACTGCTGTCTTCCTTCTGCATTTTGCTCATCTCTTCACAGACCCACATCTGGTCGGCAGGCTGTTGTGGGCCACTCCTCGATGAGTCCTGTACTGAGCTCCCTCACACTCAGTACATCTCTGCATTGCTGTGTGGGGTTTCTTCACATTCTCAAGGCTGGGGCCTTTATGGTTCAGTGCTAGTACACTTCTCACAAATAAGAACCCGTACATTTCAGAGTGCATTTTTGCCTCCTTGCTCATTCTACGTGGTTGCTATTGATGTTTCTGTTGTTTTTACTAGCTTTTACTCCATCTGTATTTAGAAGAGGTACTGCTGGAAAGGAGGTTGGGAGAAAAGGAGTTGGTCAGTGTTTGGCTCCTGTCAGGGAGCACTGCAGGAGGCAATGGATGAGCTCGTTGCCATGTTCCTCCGTTGGTCTGTGTCATGGTGTTACTTAAGAACCTTATGATGCTCAACAGAGGCAGTAAAGGGACTTAGATTTTCTTCTGTTTTTATCAAATGAATATTTTTCATGAAGCTGGAGTTTACTACACCTGTGGGTCATCTGTTTTTGTTTAGTTTCTTAAATAAGAACAAATTTTATAAAATGAATGTTCATTTATAATTAACCCTAATGTAAGGCAGATTTTTAAGTATCCATATGAGTTTGTTATTTTGCATTATATTTAGTGAGGATGCATTAAGGAATACTGGAGTAAAACTTCCTACTCTACTTTTTTAAGTGTATCAATAATCTGTTTCTGCTAGAAAATTTTAATTTAATTTAACTGTTATTAAATTAGAGCCATATTTTCATCATTAGTCAGTAGATATTAAAATTACAACTAGAGAATGGGCCCGGTAGCCTAGTGGCTGAAGTTCTTGCCTTGCATGTGCCAGGATCCCATATTGGTGCCAGTTCTAATCCCGCCAACCCCACTTCCCATCCAGCTCCCTGTTTGTGGCCTGGGAAGGCAGTCGAGGACTGCCGTAAGCCTTGGGACCCTGCACCTGCAGGGGAGACCGGGATGAGGCCCCTGCCTCCTGGCTTGGGATTGGCTCATTTCCAGCCATTGTGATCACTTCAGAAGTGAATCAACAGACAGAAGATCTTCCTCTCTGTCTCTCCTCCTCTCTGTGTATATCTGACTTTCTAATAAAAATAAATAAATCTTTAAAAATTATAACATGGGTGTCATTGTGGACCGCAATGCTTTTATGAATTGGAAAGGCATTACAATGCTATCATAATCCAATCATTAGATAATTATTAGTCCAGAGCATCATGCCAAATACCTTACCCTATATCATTTAGTTTCATATCATCCAAAACATCTTTGCCATTGGTAAACTACTTAATTATTCTTAAGTAATAATTCTGGATTTTTTTTAAAAAAATAGTGGCATTTAAGAAAACATTTTAAAAGTGTGGTTATAGAATCAGATCTCAGATCAATTATTCTGAAGAGAGTTGGAAGGTTAAAATAATAGCTGTGGTATTTAATTACTCATATGTGTTATATAAGAAAAACATGTTCATTAAAGCAATTTTGACACTTGTAATCCACAGGAACTTTATTGGGAAAATGGTTCTGAAAGTAGTGAGAATGTTGACTAGTTGAGCTCTTTGTCCCACATGGGATTACACCACTTTGTAAATCATAAGTTCCTGCTATTACAACATGCTTTTTCTTTATTCTTTGTTGTTGTTTTGGTTCTTAGAAACAATCCACTTGGGTTGCTTACATGGCCATTTGTTAGTCTGGGGCATCAGGCTTGTTTGCGACTCTGATGAAGTCATACTAGGTTGGGTCTGGGTATAAGTCAAGAGATCCTGCAGCTGCTCATTGAATCAGACAGTGAAAATGGTCATCCTGATATTTTAGACCAAAAATTATGCTTTCCCAAAGCATAATTGGGCAATTTTAGCCATCAAGAAAAGTTTGCTTTGCTTTACTGACTATAAGCCTATAAGCTTTGATTTACTAACTATATGCTGAGCTGGAAGGGAATTATCAATCAATCAGATTATCAGTTGGTAAACAGATTATCAATCTGTTGCATGTTAATTACACCTCAAAATTTTCATTGATGTGTAACGTTCTCAGAGAGAGGACACAGTGCTAACTACATGGGAAGATGAACTTTAATTGACTGAGCACACCTACCTGCCTGGTACCCAGATTAGAGCGTAACAACCACCCAGAAGTTTTTCTTGGTGCCCTTCCAGTCACTAGCTGTCCCATTTTGCTGGTTTAATAGTTTGTACAAGGAACTTGAAAAAGATCATGGGAAATGGAATCGAGAGATAAATTTGTGTTGGTATAAAAGACTTTTAAATGCATGCTGCATTTTATTCATAGTATGCATTTGTCATGAAATTTCTGAAGACCCACTCATTTAAGTAGAATTATACATGATGGGCTTTTCTATTGGGCTTTTGTTTCTATCATCATTATGCTTATGAGTTTCCTCCAAGCTTATCATTTATTGTGTTTGCTGATTCTTCACCCCTGTACAATGTTCCATTGACAAATGCAACAAAAATTTCTTCATTTTATGGTTTAAAAAGTCTAATTTCTTTATATTATTTCCTTTGGTAGAGTTTATAGCTATTATGAATATTGTGTACTGGGTATACTGGTAAATGAGTTTTGGTAAATGGACAGTATATATGTCCATTTTTCATTACTTTAAAATATCAGATGAAGACCCTTGGAAAGGAAAGGGTTCATTTCGGCTAATAGTTTGGAGGTTCACAGTTGAAGACTAAGTGGCTCCATTAATACGACACGTGGTGAAGGCATATAATCATGAAGTGGGTGCACTCAGATGACAACATGATGAGCCAGGAAAGAGAGACAACGGCTGGAAAGAACTTAAATTATCAACTCCCTTGTGAGAACCACCCTCCAAGGGTACATTCTTTCCTCCTGACCTTAAGACCATTCAGTTGACCCATCTTTCAGACACCATAATTATCAAGTCTCTACACTTAATCCATTAACATTAAGACATCAGAGTTAAACATCTACATGAGTTTTGATGTGACAGCTTCTACTTAGCCCTTAAAACACATGCACCCACACAGATCCACTTATGTTTCTTTAGATACATAGCTAGACTGAGTCCTCGTGTGCATGGTTCTGCGCATGTGTGTTCAGATTTCATGGGCGAGAAGGTTTAATGAAAGTATTTTATCTGTTTACTGCACACTGGCAATGTATGAAAGTCCCGGGTTGCTTCACCTCCTTACCAGTGTTTGAAATTTGCTGTCATCTTCATTTACTCATTGTGTTGAATGGGTATGGAATGTGGTTAAGGTATTTTTCCTTGGTGATAATGAACCTGAGTACCTCTTCACATGATGGTTAGTAATGTTACTTCTGGATAACATTTCTGTTAAAGACTTTTCCTCATATTTTAATTGGTTGAGTTGTTTTGTTACTATCCAATAGGAATTCTTTATGTAATACAGACCATCAATGTATATCCATTATATATATATACTAAATAATACCCCACTTCTATAGATTGCTTTTCAGAATCTTAGCAGGGTCCTTCGATTCATAGTTTTTAGGGAGTCCAACTGAAAAATTTTTTTCTCTTCTGCCTTGCACTTTGTGTCAGTTTGAAAAAGCTTTGCCAACTCCAAATTGGCAAAGTTTTTCTTCTTCTAAAATACTACTATTTAGGTTTGTTATTCATCTAATTTAATCTTTTTTATTGATTATATAATGTTTGAATCAAACCCTTTCTTTCATGTTGTTGTCACATTAGCCCAACCCATCATTTTAACCTAGTTTTTGACTTGCTTAAAATATTTTCATATAGTATGTACATGTTTATGCTTTCTTGGAATTCTTCAAAAAAACCAAACCTGTGGTGATTTACAATTTATAATCTCTAGGTTTATTTAGCACTAATATAAATTGAGATATCTTTTTAAAGTTTATTTTGTTCAATTACATCTAGTTTTTAAGTCAAGATATTTATTTACTGAGCAACAGAATAATTTACAATTTACAAAACAAAATCATGTATAAATAATTATTCTCAGTTTTCAATTAAACTTAATCCAATGCATGTTTCTTATGTGTGTTCTAGAATTTGAATCAGTTGAGAATATGTTTTGGACCATATTTTTACATAATTTAAGTTTTAAGACAAATAATAGTTTTTTTTAATTATAAACTGTCTTTATAGTAGTAGTCTTTTAGTAGTAAAATAAAAGAGAGAAATGCCAAGACTCCAATCATAGGACAATAACAAAGGGAAAACATTTATTATCCTTATTTGATCAGTACAGATTATACACATGTATGGCCTGGGACCCTTTATGTGCACCAAATTCCTCATTAGAAATGACACATATATTGAAAGATGAAAAACGGAAAATATAAAATTTTGATTTTTGTATGTGTAATGCACTTGATCCTTCTTTGATGTTTTTGCTTAGTTTTATTTTTTATTGTTCTAGGTTGTACTGGTCAGCGGACATCTGGACAGCTGGGATGTTGGGCAGGGTGCCATAGATGATGGTGGCGGAGCCTTCATATCGTGGGAAGCACTCTCACTTATAAAAGATCTTGGTAAATATTTAGAAAATAATTAATCAAGGTGTAAGAATCCCAGCAGCGATGAGTTGAAGTTAATACACAAAATACTTACCAGATTACTTACTGTGGTATGTCCAAAGGTTTTTTCAGGGGTTTGTATATAATTGGTCGCCAGTACATTTGCAGGAAAGAACTAAATTTCCCTTAAAGAAAGAAACTTTTACTCAAATCTACTCCAGATATCCTAAGTTTTAAATATTATCAGCTACTGGGAAGAATGAAAAAGCAAATAAGTTTGAAACACATGTAGTCACATTAGCCAGTGACTACGTAAGGACTCAAGATCAAGACAAAAACAAACAAACAAACAAAACCCAGCATCCCCCTGCTTCCTTCTCCTTTGTCTTAAGACACTATCAGGCCACTAGAGCAGTTGCTAAAGGTCAGTGGTTTTTCCATGATAGAAAAGTAACGTGATCCATGACAAGTAAAACTAGGCTTACAGAAAATGGGCAAGCATTCAAATGACTGGCTAATAATAAAACAGCTTATTTTCATGACTATATTTACAAAGAAAAAAACATACATTTTCTTCCCATAATGTTAAAAAAAAATTGAATTTTAAGTTTGACTAAAAGTAACAAAATAGTCATTGAATTGAGATGATCATAGCTGAATTTGGCCAGTCATGGTATGAAACATATCAACAGACCATCTTGTACCATGTTGTGAAATAGCCTCAGTTTCATGGAATCAGATCTGAACGTTCCATTGCCTAAGTACTTAAGTGTTTAAAATCATGCTTGTCCTCCCATTCTTCTAATCCTGTAAACAACTCATTAAATAATTGTCCAACTTATTAGCAACAGATTGTGAAAATTATCTTGTTTGAGGCAAATTTTTCTGTTGTAAATCTGGTTTGTGCTTTAAAGTGGATAAATGAAAAGATGTTCATTCTTATTTTTACTCTTAAGTAGTGCCCCTGTTCCCTAACATTGGCACACTGATGTTTGGATCAGATAATTCTTTGTGAGATCTGCTGCATGGATGAAAGGAGGCATCCCTGCCTTCCACTGACACTGTCTCCCCAGAACCCCCCAAGTTGTAACAAATATGTCCCAGACATCAGCACTGCACTCTTAGGGTGAGAGAGAAGGCATTATACCAGTCTGAGAACCACTAAAATACATGAAGGAAGTTTTCTAGGTAACCTTAGTATATGATCTCTCTCTCTCTCTCTCTCTCTTTTTATTTTAAGAAAATAAAATCACTGGAAACCTTAGGTTGTATATAACTACACTTTAATCATCATTTTAATAAATGACAATGCACTGAGCACCTTCTTAGTTTTTCTCTTTTTTTAAGATTTGTTTATTTATTTGAAAGGCAGAGTTAAAATGAAAAGAGAGAGAGAGAGAGATCTGGGCCCTGTGCAGTAGCCTAGTGGCTAAAGTCCTCGCCTTGAACGCACCAGGATCCCATACGCGCACAAGTTCTAATCCCAGGAGCTCCACTTCCCATCCAGCTCTCTGCTTGTGACCCGGGAAAGCAGTCAAGGATGACCCAAAGCCTTGAGACCCTGCACCCACCTGGGAGATCCAGAAGAAGCTCCTGGCTTCAGATTGGCTCAGCTCCAGCCATTGCATTGCTTGGGGAGTGAACCATGTGACAGAAGATCTTCCTCTCCATGTCTCCTCCTCTCTGCATATCTGGCTTTGCAATAAAAATAAATAAATCTTTAAAAAGAAAATCTTCCATCTGCTGGTTCACTCCCCAAATGTCTGCAATGGCCAGAGCTGGGACCAATCTGATGCAAAGAGCCAGAAGCTAGAAGCTTCTTCCAGGTCTCCCTCATGGGATAACAGGGACCTAAGTACTTAGGCTGTTTGCCATTCTTTCCCAGTCGTATTAGAAGGAGTTCAATATGAAATGTAGCAGCCAAAACTCAATTGGCACCATATGGGAAACCACCACCACAGATGGCAGCTTCACCTAACCCAAAACGAAGACTCTTTGGTTTGTATAGAGTACTTTGTAAGAACTTAACACAGATGTTAAAGCACGTCTTCATGGCAGAGCCGTAACCTTCTCATATACCTGTGCACACAGTCCTCAACGCAGATGCAGTTTCAATGTCTACTTTTAATGTTGGGTAAGGTTTGAGAGAAAAATTATTCAACTAGGCAGTCAAAAAATAACTATTTCACAAAAAATCTGGGCGACTATATTTCAATTCTTTCTCTTCAACTTGCCTTAAAAGTGGCCGTGGGCCATCTCTTCCTTCCATTTGTCACATCATTCCTAAATGTATTGGATTCTGGAATAAGGTAGGCAAAAGACAAGCATGTTTCTTCTGTGTACAGAAACAGATTACTTTGGAAATCAGTTTTGCTTCAGTGCGTTCAAGCAGCTTGCTGAGAAGCAGAATGATGAAGTAAAAGCAGAGATCAGGCCCATGGGAATGCTGTTTGGGGTCACGGTGCTGCAAGCTCCATTTTTGGCTGCAGGCCGATCATTTGGACTCTGTATGTCAGCTTTGTCATCTCTAGGCAAGTGTAAGCACATAGAGTACCTCATTCGCTTTACCCTGAAATAAAGTGTGTCTCTAGGCTTTGAGGCACTCTTCTTTGTCACTCAGTGTGGGACCTTAAATCACTGTTCATTGAGTTGAATTCAATTGTCTGGGTAAATGTCAAACACCAGCCAAGGGTGAGTTGAGCGTCTTTCCAGGTCTGAAATTACATGAGCTTCAGTTGCTTTTGATAGCAGTCAGTCTTTTTAATTCAGGACTTAAATCTCCCAAAGATTTCTGTTCACAAATGAATATATGAGTATAACTCTGAACAGCAAAACAACTTTGAATTAGTGTTAAGAGGCAGCATAATTATGACAAGACACAACCTTCCAGAGTCAAATGCCTGAGTTCCAATCTCAACCCTGTAATTTTGTAGCTTGGTGGTATCAGGTAAGTTACTCTGCTCTTCTTTGCCTCAGTTTTCTTATCTGTCCAATAAGGGTATTAGATTCTATCCCAAGAAGTTGCTTGGAAAATCAGAGGAACTATTCACATAACATACATGACTTTGATATTTGTGACACAATATTTTTTCTGTGAGAGGTTGATGATTTTGCTGGTTTTTTGTTGTTGTGTTGTGTGTACCTGTGTGTCTTAATGCCACCCCTATTAGTGATTATTTTCCCTCTTGGTTTAATATTCTGGTCAACTGCTATAGTAAGAGACAGTTTCATGTTTTCATTTTCATACTGTTTTTCCAAACTCTTAAATTTCTTGAAGTCACTTCCAGTGCCCATGTTCTGCTAATATTGAATGGCTAATGTTTACTCTGTACCACATTTTCTGTGAACACACCCATTGAGCCTTACTCTTAATTTCATAGTTGATTGTGGATAGATCTGTTTTGTAGATAGCCTGTGTGTTTTAAGATGGAAAACTAGTACCAACAGTTGACATGTTAAATAACTGGGCGAACACTTCTGAGATGCTAGAATAAGAAATAGAATCTTGGGATTAAGTGCAAGAAATGGACTCAGAATTACATTACTAAATCACCTTAAGTCCAGACTGTTAAATAGAATAGGAAAGCATTGTGACAACCTATTTTTCCAAGGAAAATGAGACTCCTTTTGGATGCTATTCCTTGAATGATGCAACATGCAGTGTGCATATCAAAGTCCCTCAGGGGAGCCTGTGAGTTTTAAGTGTTGGTCTAGTGGGGTTTTCTGTTAGTCAGTTGTCTTTTTTGTGGGATTCATCTTTCTAGTATCTTCCCCTTTGTCCTCTTTCACCACTCTTATTGATTCACTCTCATGCTCAAATCATCACCTTAAATTAGATTCAATTACTGTAATAGAAGAGATATTTGTGCTTTGTAAATATAATCAGTCATTCCTGAGTAACTGTCAACAGAAGGCTATTTGCTGTGAAGTGTTATTGAATACTTTTTTGTATATGTGGTTTACTGGACTTGAAACTGTTTATTTGAAATGTCATTTCCTGGAATGTTCTAGTGCTAGTAGACAGAACCTATAACCAGACTTTTGTGCTTCAAAGTGTTTACTTGGCACCTGAAGATTAAACTACCATCCATTTCAGAATTCTCCCAGCTTTATTCTTTCAGTAAAATTAGAGTTTTGAATTTTCAGGCCTAGAGAAATGATGAAACATAGAGTTAACAGGATCACACAGATGACAAAACTCAGAGAAGACAGGATCATTTGGTTGTTGAAATATGGGTGGTATGAGAAGTAGCTTTCCAGGCAGGCCCTGTGCAGTGGTGGCAAGCTGTCCCATGGGTGCCAGCATCCCTGATGACCAGATGAGTGCTCATTTGAATCCTAGCTCTTCTGCTTCTGACCCAGCTTCCTACTAATGACCTGGAAAAAGTGTGAAGGTTGACCCGAGTGTTTAAACCCCTGCCAAACTTCTGGGAGACTCAGAAGATACTCTAGCTCCTTCCCACCCCTCCCCTACTCTTTTTTCCTTTTTTCTGTCCTTAACTCCAACTTTCAAACAGAAAAAATCAATCTATTACAAAATAAACATCTTTCTGAAGAATTTTAAATACAAATATGCTGTGATGATGATACAGCTTGGAAGTCTAGCTAGTAGAAAAATATTTCTGTATGCTCCCTCGTTCAGCAAACTTGTTGTGCATGGATTTTATCTTTACATACCAAATGCCTTCTACCAAGGAAGAAGACACAATAGCCCTGGAATTCCATGAAGTGGGAGAGACATTCATTCAAACATTGAAATGAAATTGCTCTAAGTTGTCTCAATGTGGTATATACAAATCATTTTTGGCCTCTGGGGAAAGTAGACATCTTAGGGGCTTGGCTATCTTGTGGCAATTTTACTAAGGTAACATTTGAACTTATATATATAATATATAATAATAATATATATATAACGATAAGCAGAAATTCTGGAAGCAAAAGAGGAGCACAGAATAATTCCCAGTGAAGTAAAATATTTTTAGTTTTGTGCGTATTAAAAGTATGGAGAAGATTGC